GGCTGCATACAATTGGAAACAAGAAAATATTTGCCATTACCGACTTTTAATTTGAAGAATTTCGATTGCACTTACAACTTATACGCAATACTTACTAGAAATTTTGTCTTACAAGAGCAAACTAGAGGAAATTGGAAAACATTCATTAATCAGATAGAACAGCAATGCAACGAAAATCCAATTTACTTAGAGAAAGCTTTGGAGTATATATTAGATTTGCAAGAACGTGGTGTACTCTGCCACTATCCACGTGCAATCGAATTGATGTATCAATGGTATTGTCAAACAGATCATCAAATTCGTGCAAAAGATAACGAATATACAACGCCTTCTGATGCCAAATTGATTCGGAGAGTAGTTTTGACTCCAACAACAACTTTGTTTTATCCTCCCGAATTTCAATTCAGTAACAGAATGTTGCGAAATTTTGATTCAAATTATGCACTGCGAGTATCTTTTCGAGATGACGACGGTAAGAAATTGAGTGCGTCAGCAAATTACAGTGATGCTGCATTATTGGAATTCGCAGTTACGATGCCTATGATTGAAGGAATAAAAATATGCGCAAGACATTACAAATTTTTGGCATGGTCAAATTCTCAAATCAGAGATCATAGTGTATGGATGTATGCGGAAGACAATAAAGGAAATAATGCCGATACTATTCGAGCATGGATGGGTGATTTCTCGATAACCAAAAGCGTATCCAAATACATGGCTCGTTTGGGACAGTGCTTTTCACAAACAGAAGACACAGTGAAAATTCCATTAGAGCATCGTTACGTCATTACAGAGGATGATATTGAAGGTGGAGTAAATCCTGTTACAGGAAAACCTTACTGCTTTTCAGATGGAATTGGCAAAATGTCTAGACAATTAGCCGAGAACGTGAGTATCCACATTTATTATCTTAATTTATAATTACATGTTTGTATATTTGTGTCTATTATAAATAGTTTTTAGATTTTGTTATATGTGAATGTAATAATTCAAAAGTTGTAATAATCAATAAATATATTTTTGACAATCAAATAGTTAAACCCAAGTTTTAGTGCTAATAGACAAAGAATTTTTCAAATTACTGTTTTATTATTTTTATTCTGACAAAAAAACAAAAGATACAAAGATATTACTTTTATCGGGCTTTAAAGTAGGCTATAAGAGACACAATACAATATTTTGACAATATTCGCAAAGCTTTCGGAAACAGTTGGAAAAGGCATTTTTTGAAATCGTCTTTAATAACTAATCTCAGGCAGGCCCAAATAGCAGAGGTGTCAGCAAAGCGCGATCGTTTATATTGGCAAATAGACGGTCATTGCTATTTCTATTCATATAAAAACACGTATAATAATAATAATAATAAAATTCATTAGTAAANGCTCGTCTAACGACCGACTTCGCCACCGTAAATTGAAACAACAGCGTCGTCGTCTTCACGCTCATCTGACATTAGCCTTATATACAGTAGCGTAGCCTGTGTGTCAGCCGCCCGGGGCAAAGGAAAATTTCGCCCCCCCCTTATTTAGGTATCTCAATTTAAAAGACTAAAATGCAGTTTCGTCACAGAATAAGTAATGAAAAATTCCGTGCACGTTTCAATCGGTCCAAATCGTAGGTGCGACAAAAATATGAAATGAAATGGTTCAAATTTTTACAAGATATTATTATTATTTATTGTGAAATTTTGCCGCACTTTAAAAGTGCCGCCCGGGGCGGACCGCCCCTGCCGCCCCACTACGCTATGCCACTGCTTAAAAATCTCTCCGTATATCGGAAACTAAGATATGGACGCCTATGTTTTACATTCAAGTGAACCCCTATATCATTCTTGAATTCCTCGTCGCAATTAATACAAAATGGCAGCGATTAACCGAAATCTATCGAACAGATTTTGAGAACGAACACAATTCTGCAAGCCACATAGAAGAGGCTTGGTTAACGCTCTTTCTCAACTTGTAATAAATATCATGAAATTTTTGTCATCGAATCAGTAGTGCACTGCGGTACGGGTCATGTACCGTTGTACCGTACCAATAAAAAATGATAACTAATCCCAAATTTCGTCGAAATCACGCATGACGTCATGTACGGAGCATCGTTAAGGAACCCTATATTTTGAAGCATAGAGAATAGTGATGTAACGAATATTCGATTACTATTCGGCCTATTTTTCTCTATTCGACCGAATACCGAATATTTAATCATTATTCGGCGAAATACCAAATACCTAAAAACGGGAGTAAGAAATAACAAAAACACAGTAAATTAATAATTTTGGTATTTGGTACCGGGATTTAATGTTACCGGGGTTAGTGTTGTTTGTTTATATTTATTTATAATTTATAACATGCACAAAATAAAAAAGAACATAATATTCACTTGTATTCACATAACAGTCACTTGTATTCACAATTTATAATTACAAAGATCAGCACACGTACACACCTATTCGTTCGAGAATCATCGCACATTTGAGGGTCTGACCCTGCCTATTCTTCTTTTTAAGCGCTCGTCTTTGCTCTTCCCTTTCTCTTTCCTCTATCGCTCTAGTCCACGTATGCCTATGCATACATCATAATACGCACTCACGACACTTTTGATTCGTCACTTTTCCGTTTACAATTACGTGACTCGTAGCCTAGTGATAACGGAGAAAAAAAAACATATAGGATATCGAAATAAGTCACAGGTATGATTTCACAGATTCGAGACAGCTTGGTAGCCCGAACGGCCCCAGGCTTTCGCCTGTGCACGCTAAGTGACTTTCATTACAAGTATTTAGCATTCCGAAGTCTATAACAATAATTGTTTGGCATTGACGGCCACGAATTTCGCGCCAATAAGCTGCCTCGACTTAGATCGGATGGCCGAGTAGTCAAGGTGGGAGCCTACCGCTCTGAGGGACCAGGGATCGAATCCGGATAGGTCGAATAATCCCCAGAATTTTTTCGGGGGGTGGTCCGTCCGGATATGTCGGGCCCCGTCCCTCTCCACCCGGTCGCCCCATTGTGGGACTGGTCGTACCCATAATGGGCTTGCAAAAAGAGGCCTTCTTAGTGCCCACGGGGCGGAAAGAGCTTAAAAAATAATAATAAATTTAAAAAAGCTGCCTCAACTTGTTCCATTATGTTNCGAATAATCCCCAGAATTTTTTCGGGGGGTGGTCCGTCCGGATATGTCGGGCCCCGTCCCTCTCCACCCGGTCGCCCCATTGTGGGACTGGTCGTACCCATAATGGGCTTGCAAAAAGAGGCCTTCTTAGTGCCCACGGGGCGGAAAGAGCTTAAAAAATAATAATAAATTTAAAAAAGCTGCCTCAACTTGTTCCATTATGTTATCAACTCAATTTCATATTTATTTTCACATTTTCACTTCGCAGTCCTTCTCTGTTCTTTTTCCGTTATTTACTCGTGTAGGTCATTTCATCGTTATCCACATTTGATATCATCATTTATCACATACTGCCATGACGCTCTTGTCTTTCTGTTACAACTGTCAAGAATTAACGTGATTGGCGAAGCGTAGTGACAGTGGGCCAATAGAAAGCAGTGTCTTTGCCATAATGCGGTTTGCGGGCAAATTTTCGTACATGCGTTAATCGAGCCGAATATTCGGCTATTCGGCCACGCTCCTGGCCGAATATACTATTCGTTGCAACACTAATAAAGAACCCTCTTTAACATAAAAATGATCTCTAGTGAGTATATATAAGTTTTAAAATACTTTTGTAAGAATATTTAAAAGTATTTCAGTATTTTATAGATTTTTGAATATACAAAAACCATAATTTTAAACATTAGACGTTTGAATGTATTTTCGAACGTAATTTGACGTCATCGTAGTAAAGGGGATTACTTCCGAGTTAAAAGGTTCGAAACGGATCGTTTTTGATGTAAGTTGTAAATTGAAATTTAAAACACTTTTTATTATTATTATAATTTAATTTAAGTACGTGTATATGTAGAATTATTATGGCGATTAATAGAAATAGCAAAATATATTTTCGTGAGATTATTATATTTAAAAATCTTTTCTTCAAAGTTCCAAGTTTCGAATTATAAAAACGAATAAGTTGTGACTTCCTAATTGACTCAAATTGGTATGTTATAGTCCATTAATTGTCTACATTATTCGTAGTTTAAAATGATAAAAGAACCGAAATATATAAATTTAATTTATATATTTTTGAATGTGATTCGAATCTTTGCTTTTCTCATAGAAGCGAATAACTTATATAGATTGAAATAAGCAAAATGATTCGTGCGTCTTCCGTGGTCTTAATAATCTTCAAATAAATTTTTTTATTTTAGGCTAAAAGTAAGTAGTTTTTTAATCCCTTCATTAACCGCAATACACAACTATTTATCAATCAGTGAACATTGGGGAGATATCTGAATTTTACAATTTAAAAAGAATAAATCCATTTATTCAATAACGATTTACGGTGTTCCGATTTTAGAACGATTTCAAATAGTTAGTGAATTGTCAGTGAATTGGAGCGGATTCACTGCCGTAATATTTGACATTTCTAACACCTGTAGACGGCGAAATTGTCAAGGCGGTTAAGGCATATGTCGGGTCCCATTCCTTACTCCTCCGTTTAGGACCTGCTCGAAGCCTCGTTTGATGTGTTTAAAAGGCTCTCTCTACGTGACCATAAAGTGGGAAGAATCAAATAATAAACAAAAAATCCAAATTTTAAATTAAGATTTACTCGAGTGTGTATCGAGTTTTAAATGCAAATTCTAATTTTTTTTTTTAATTAAGCAGTTTGCTAGTAAAGAAATAAAAATATTTCTTTTAAAATTAAAAACACAAATGAAGATTTATATATAATAACAAAAAAAAAACAAATTTATTGAAACGTGTTATATCGAAACAAAATCTATGAAAAGAAAAGTGAATTTTTTCCAGCCTTCTTTAAATGAAAATTTTGTAAAAACATAATTGGGTTTATTTAAAATTTTGTTAAAGAAAATTATAGAAAAATATTGACAAAAACCCGTCCGCAAGAGAAAAACTTTCTAAAGAAAGGCTGAGAAAGACCGAACTAATCAGTTTACATTTGAAAATCGAATGTTCTAATATTGTTCGATTTTAAAATTTAAACAGACATTCTTCGAATTTTCTCTCTTAACCTTCGATCATAATTAATTAGAGATTAAATAAGTGAATTAAAGTATTTTTTAATTTAATTATTCTTTTTATTTCTTTATCGTCGCTTTTATAACGTGCGCTCTTCTTTAATCCATGTTACGAAGAAATTCAATTTTTATCTAATCAACTAGATATAAGATAAATTTATTATGAAACGAGTCAGAATTTTGGTACAGTCGACCCTCCTATAATTACGGTCCCTATAATTACGATTCCTATAAAACTACGAAAAAATTGTGACCAGTATCCGTAAAAAACAGTAAAAAAAACCCTATATCTTATAGGGGGTTTTTTACTGTTTTTTACTGTTTCCAAAGAATGGAACGTATCTATATCTTATAGGGGAGTCGACTGTATTTTACAAAAAGTCAAATTGTATTTTGTACAATATTTTAATTTATAAGAAACTTTCAATGGTCTTACATTCTTCTTTAACTGCACTTAATTACTACTCAAGCATCGACACAAAAACCTTTATAATGCAGCCTTTCAATTCAATTTTTATTATAAACGTTTTTGTATCAATGCTTGGATGGTTTTACAGATTGAATTTAGAGGGTCACAATAGTAAGCTTTCCTAAATTTGAATTTCGAAGCAAATTTCGATGTTTGAATTCTTAGAAACTAGCAGTTGAGCCGAGACTTGCTCCGACTAGAAGTAATGAAAGCAAACATTAAGATTATTAGATTATAGCCGATTTTACCCGTTTTTCTCCGGGCGCAAGAATTAGATCTCCCTTTGAGTCTAATTAGAGAATTTTTAGATGGGTCTAAAAATATGTTTGATTTCCTGCAAAAACGCAAAAAACCGCATCTAAAATAGTATAGTAGAAGCCGAGTTCTTCAGGGTTATCCTTAAACTTCTCCTTCTCCCCCCGCGGGAGAGGGAAAATTTAAAAAATCCTTTATTAGTGTACATTCTCATGGTGTATCCTATAATGTGTACCAAATTTCAACTTTCAACTCCTAATCGTTTGGGTTCTGCGCTTATTATTATTATTATTATTATTATCAACCCATCTCGATTATATCTATAGAAGTCTATTGGAATAATAAAAATATGAGTATCATTGCAGATTTTACTAGAAGAATGAAGGAATATAATATATGTATATATATATATATACATATATATATATAGGCTATATATATGTGGATACTTATGTTGAACTGTTAATATAAAATTACTGTAAAATTTCTTTTTTAAAGTAATTTTGTTTTTATCTGAGACGAAGGCAATTAAAAACGTAAATAAATTAAAACAAGTGATTAGAGAGGTCTATATCTGGGGTGGCAAACCTATGATACGCTTGCACAAAGTCTCGCGTAAGCAGAAATCATCTCGTACATAACTGTCATATGATTTCGATTACCTTCTGTCTTTTTCAATCGCTCTTTCGGTTTATCACTTGATCATTTTTTTCAATCAGCTTTTTTACATTTATTTTAATTAAAGAATATTCCTTTAACTTATTTAAATGTCGTTTTTTACAGTCTAAAACTTCGGCACGTGTAAACAACTCTAAAACTGAGTATGCTTACTATATGCCAGGCAAGCTGAAAAAAGTTCGCTACACCTGTTCTAAATCATTCAGTTTCTCATATTTATGTGGTAAAAATCTCATATTAGAATTTTTTACGGCTGTTCATCTTAGATATTCTGTCCCTTCTTTCATTACCCGATCGATTGCCCCATTGTTGGCCCGCCCAAATTCTTGATGGGTATAGTGAGAAGCTCATCTTACTATCACAGGACGGAAAGAGTTTAAATAAAATTGTGTCGATTTCTTCCAAAGCTATTAATTTTGTTTCTTTATTTTCTAAAAACTTTTGTAATAAATAAATCTAGTAATTAAAAAATATTCCTTCGCAATACTTAAAGGTTAGTTGTGACCACGTAACATTGCATCATAGCTAACATCCTTTGATATTTAAACGAGCAACAATTTACTGTGACGTCATCACAATGCTTGGCTGCAATTTTTAACATTTTAATTCAAAAAAATAGTTTTGGTCCCGACCGGAAATTCGTGTATACTTAATAGGAGCTTGCCCTTAAGCTTTCCATATCCGGTCTCGACTTTTATCTATCTAATTCCGTTCTCGAGATTAACGAAGAACTTGCAGAAGGTGGGAATTATAAATTCGCGCTGTCCATCTGCATCACGATAATTAATTGGGCTACAATTTTCAAATTGCTGACGTTATAGGACAACTGTACTTGAAAACTGTAGCACAATTAATTACCGCGTTGGTTGCATATATTATTGCTTTAATGACGTGAATATAATGCTCTTTCTCAAAGATGACTGTTCATATTTAAGACAGATTTCAAAAATTGATATTATTAATATTTCAGATAACTAGAAATGCGACTACAATTTCGAATTACCTCGTTAGACGACTATTCAACTTCCACCGACTTTAGAGAGATTTTAGAAAATCATCTCGAAAAGTGGAAGTTCTCTGTAGTACAATGGATCGAAGAGGAAAAGACAGAAAGACACGACAATAAACCCGTATTTGACGAACACGTGATTCAAGTAGAGTGCAAAAGTAACCGTTTCTTTGCCGACGTGTATTCCGAAATGGACATTTTGGCAACATACTGGTGCAGGACCGATATAAAATGTTGGTTAACATTCTCAACCGCCAAATGTTTTCATCATACTAAGATTGCTTGTCACGAAAACATCATTCTAAATATGTTTTACTTTGGAACTCTCTGCTCACAAACGCATTATGTAATACACAGATATGTGAAAGGATTTCTGTCGGCAAATTTTTATCATGACGTACGGATGTTGGAAATAAGACATAAAAGGAATATTTACGACGATAACAATAATTTATTAAAAATAAAATATTCGTCCGTAAGGAGAATTATTTTAAATATAAAGAAAGACTGTGCTTTACTCTTTTTAGAAGTGAAATATCCTCCCGTTGCGTATTCTAGGGGACGAAGAGTTCTAACCTTAGATGCCATCGATAAAGAAGTGCATGGCAAATCGACAGCCTTGATGTTACGTATTCAAGATGTAGAAATTGCTAAAGAAATAGTTAGTAGATTTCATTCATGTAATAATGCAATGCCTATTTACTATGGCTGCATACAATTGGAAACAAGAAAATATTTGCCATTGCCGACTTTTAATTTGAAGAATTTCGATTGCACTTACAACTTATACGCAATACTTACTAGAAATTTTGTCTTACAAGAGCAAACTAGAGGAAATTGGAAAACATTCATTAATCAGATAGAACAGCAATGCAACGAAAATCCAATTTACTTAGAGAAAGCTTTGGAGTATATATTAGATTTGCAAGAACGTGGTGTACTCTGCCACTATCCACGTGCAATCGAATTGATGTATCAATGGTATTGTCAAACAGATCATCAAATTCGTGCAAAAGATAACGAATATACAACGCCTTCTGATGCCAAATTGATTCGGAGAGTAGTTTTGACTCCAACAACAACTTTGTTTTATCCTCCCGAATTTCAATTCAGTAACAGAATGTTGCGAAATTTTGATTCAAATTACGCACTGCGAGTATCTTTTCGAGATGACGACGGTAAGAAATTGAGTGCGTCAGCAAATTACAGTGATGCTGCATTATTGGAATTCGCAGTTACGATGCCTATGATTGAAGGAATAAAAATATGCGCAAGACATTACAAATTTTTGGCATGGTCAAATTCTCAAATCAGAGATCATAGTGTATGGATGTATGCGGAAGACAATAAAGGAAATAATGCCGATACTATTCGAGCATGGATGGGTGATTTCTCGATAACCAAAAGCGTATCCAAATACATGGCTCGTTTGGGACAGTGCTTTTCACAAACAGAAGACACAGTGAAAATTCCATTAGAGCATCATTACGTCATTACAGAGGATGATATTGAAGGTGGAGTAAATCCTGTTACAGGAAAACCTTACTGCTTTTCAGATGGAATTGGCAAAATGTCTAGACAATTAGCCGAGAACGTGAGTATCCACATTTATTATCTTAATTTATAATTACATATTTGTATATTTGTGTCTATTATAAATGGTTTTTAGATTTTGTTATATGTGAATGTAATAATTCAAAAGTGGTAATAATCAATAAATATATTTTTGACAATCAAATAGTTAAACCCAAGTTTTAGTGCTAATAGACAAAGAATTTTTCAAATTACTGTTTTATTATTTTTATTCTGACAAAAAAACAAAAGATACAAAGATATTACTTTTATCGGGCTTTAAAGTAGGCTATAAGAGACACAATACAATATTTTGACAATATTCGCAAAGCTTTCGGAAACAGTTGGAAAAGGCATTTTTTGAAATCGTCTTTAATAACTAATCTCAGGCAGGCCCAAATAGCAGAGGTGTCAGCAAAGCGCGATCGTTTATATTGGCAAATAGACGGTCATTGCTATTTCTATTCATATAAAAACACGTATAATAATAATAATAATAAAATTCATTAGTAAATAATAAAATGACAGACGTTTCAGTTTGTGAAATTCGAAGTTCATATAATTTCATAAAAAAGGTTAAAACTTTAAATTTATAATAAATTTCTTTAACTAGAGGAATTTGAACCTACAGAAACGAAATGTAAAGTGCATGAGAAGTTTATAACTCTTACTATTTAACTATAAACATTCTCACGATGAATCCGTATATAGTTTACAATTACCGGCGAAATTCGTCATAATGTTGTCTTTCTAACACCAACTTTAACCCCACACCTGCTAAAACAATTGGTCATCTGACGAATTTTCCCACCACAAAACGTATAAAAGCCCTCCTTCTTTCCCCTCTCGGGGTAGTCGCCAATCGAACGACCAAGACGGACATTAACTTCCCTCAGACCTACTGTAAGACATTAATTGGAAGACCTTGCGCCCCACCTCGCACCGCCTTTTACAAATTAAAGCCAGAGTATTCATCCGATATTATCCCAGAGGTATGAAATATTATTGTAAACTCTCTCTCTCATCCGTGAAGTCGTAGGAGTTTTGTACAATTTTCATTTAGTTAGCTAGTTAAATAAACTCTTGTTTTGTTTTTTAAAAATGTCCTTACTCGACGTAGCCAACGTCTTATTATCGTCGACCCTCCGACTCTACTCCACTCGCGTAACGCGTAACTGAACGAAACGCCATCCTTGACAAGAAAGTAGGTCACCGACCTGTGGCCGGAAAGAGAGGACTTCCCAACCTC